GATGATTTTTTTTTTTTTTTTAAATTAGAGCGGTCACGGCGAAAAGTTTTTTTAAAAAAACTGCGGTAGTGAAAGAGTTAATTACAAGAACATTTATTATTTATAAAAATTTTTATATTTTCAGTTATTTTAAAAACTTAAAACTAAATTTGTTTCTTAGTTAATATAAAGTTTCCCTAGACTTGGCAAAATTTTAAACAAAATAATGTTTATGTAACCCCAAATTGGAAATTCTGAAGTGAATGTTACAAAAAAGCAGTAAAAACAGATGGAGATTTAAATTTAAATGAAGAATGGAAATCAAAAAGTGAAAAAAAAATTAAGTTAGATACCACTATAAAATTGTTTGGAATTTCACCAGTCAAACTAACAAGTCTTTCAAAATATAGCAAACTGCCTGCAGCAAAACAAAGTTTGAGAACACTATTGACAGTTGCAAAAATGGTCTCATTAGCATATATCATTAAAGAAACTTCTTTAACAATAGAATCAAAAAGCACCATTTTAAACAACAGCATTAACAATGACCATGATCTAGACATTTTAATGTATGAAACAAAAAAAAAACTGGAAACCTAACTTCACCAGAAATAGTTAATTTAGTCATTAACTTTTATCAAAGTGATGAATTTTCAAGAATGATGCCAGGAAAAATAGATTTTGTAATTGTTAAGAAAAACCAACATGTTCAAAAAAGATTATTGCTACTCAATCTTAATGAATTACATGTTGCATTTAAAAAAGACAACCCTAAAGTCAAAGTCAGTTTGTCAAAGTTTTGTACACTTAAATCTAAATGGTGTATTACAACTAATGTGTCAGGTATTCATAATGTATGTGTATGCATACATCACCAAAATACAAAATTTCTCATTGATGCCATCAGGTGGAATAAAAGTTATAAAGATTTCATGGTATTGATTGTTTGTTTGCTTGAAAATGCAGAATGTATGTTGTATCAATGTAACCAATGCAACATACCTAAAAAGCAAACATAATAAAGAGATTTCATTAAACATTAAAAAAAAGGATTATATTGCATGTTTTTGTGACGGATTTTAGTAGTTAGGGATTGCCAAAGATGTAAGTGAGCTTGATATAAAAGTCAGATTTATGCATCCACATGGACCAGGTAAAAAATTATTTGGCCAATGAGAAATGATGAGTGTTGGGTGCTCAATTCTGAAGTTATATGCCTAATTTCTATACCCACAACAATATCAGGTTGTACATACAACATATCTGATTTAGATTTGGAGAATATAAGCAGTTGGTTACAAAAAAAAAATTAAATACATTTAAATTAATTTTGTTGTAATTTTATTTACCTATTTTGCATTTAGAATTTGTCTTTCTTTTTTTCAAATCCTTGGATGGAAGGCTGAGAAGAATGGGGTTTATATAAATCCCACTGTCCACCTTATTATGTCAATGACTATATTAGTATTAATCTACTAAATAAAACCATAAAGATATTAATTTTTAAAATATTTTATTGTTAAAATGTTAAAAACATGAATTTAATATATCTCAAAAATCATGAATTTAATATATCTCCATTTAATATATCATGAATTTAATATATCTTTAATCTACCTCCAAAAATCATGAATTTAATAATGAAGTCAATAATTTTGAACAAAATTGGATAAATGAGGCATTTCCTGAGACAATCGAGTCTTGAGGGTGCTCTCTATGGATTCCACAAGTAAAGACCTATTGGGGTACCAAATTTTAGGAAGTTTCTATTATGAAGATACTATATGTCAAAGTTGCTTTGTAGTCGCTTCAGATAATCACTAAAATGTCAGCATTATTTTAACTGACGATATCTCTAGAAGCCATGTGTATTTTTAACTAAAATTTTCTTAGTTATAATTTTTTTAATATGGACTGCAAGTGCAGTAAAAATGAACAAATTAAGAGATGTAAGGGTGTCAAAAATATTTTTTTTTTTGGATGATTTCATATGGAATTACCCTGAAGTGAGTTTGAGTTGAACATTTTTACATCTTTTGTTAACAGTTTTAAAAGTGAATTAAAAAACACTTTTGCGCAAATGGAATTTTGGCAATCGCATTCGATTTTTAACCCAAGATAATTGCCTAAAACTGTCTAGTTATGGTAAAGAAAGTTTAAGGCAACTCATAGTTCACTAAGGCAGACCAAAAAGCAGCAACAAATTAGGAGTATGACACATTCAATTTCCAGATATCTCAGAAACCGAGACAAAAAACAAATTTGAAAGTTTCAAAATCTTGTTATTTACTGAACGTTGAGAATGGGAAAACTGTTCTGATATACTTATATCTAAAGAAAAAGATCAAGACGTAGTAAAAAATTATTTAACTATTATTAACTAAATCAAAAACAATTTTACCCCTCAAAAGTTATGGAAAATGATTAACAATTACCCTGTGTTTATGCTAGATGTATGTTTTTAACTAAGTTACTAATTATATTTCCATATGGGGAACATTGTGTAGAAAAACTTTTTTCAAAATTAAAATTAGCTAAAAATGTCTCCAAAACCAGCTGAGCCAAAGCACATTAGAAAGCTTGATGATGATTGCAACAGAAGGTCCAAAGCAGTGTTTTGCCAACAATCTGTTAGAGTTCTATGTCGATGAGTTAAAAAATAAAAATATAAGAATTATGTAGTAAATTTACAGCGTAAATCTCTTTTTTTGATTTTACATTTGATACTGAACACAATTATTTAATGTTTACAATTTTTTTTTACAGAATAATTACGGTGTTTCCTTTGAATTCCAGCTGTGTTTCTACAGTTTTTGTTAGTAGCAGTTTACTGGATTTTTATTTGTACAAAAAATAAAAGCTTTTCATTTACACAGAAAGTGCTGAGCTTTAGAGCTAAATGGTTTTTATAATAATTATCCTGTACATAAGATATTATTAGACAACAAAACTTTCTTTATGATCATGAAGTTTTGTTATCGCTTTAAACCCAATAGTTGCCTGAATAAGCAAGCTCATATGTTGAGAAAGGCTCATTTAAAATGTGCATGACGAGCCAAGCTCATCTGAAAGCTATTGAGCTTTTGGCTTAAATAATTATTTTTTCTTATTGTCACGAATATTTTAATATTTTAAAGCACAATATAAAACAACAAACATATTTAAAATTTATGCAAAAAAAATATTTAATAATAAAAGTTATAAAATTAGATTGTAAAAATATTAATATCTATGTAAATATAAAAAAATTAAAAAAAAGTATTTTGAATAAATTATAAAAACTTTCCTTATAATATATATTATTTTTAAAGACAGCCGTCATTTAAAAAATAGTTTTTGCAATTGAAAAGGATATTAAAATTGATAAAAAAGATATGTTGTAAAAATTAAAATTTTACATTTATAATAAAAAAAGAAAATGAATAAAAAAGAATTCTATATTTACAGCCATATATATTAATTGTAAAAAATCATTTAAACTTTATTGAAAAGTATAATAAAGTTATATTATCTTAAATATTACTTAAAATAACAATTATTTTAAATATTATAATTTAAAAGTGAATTACGCAATAATAGTAGATCAAAGTATCAAACTCATTAATTATTTATTTGCAAATAGTAAAAGATCATTCTTGTTTCTCTCTACTGTGTAAGGCAAAGACATGTTATGACAAAGCTTAAGAAAATTTCTTAGAAAGATACAAGTTGAAAAATTTTGTAAAAATTTACTAGTGACGCGATAAGATTTGCGAGAAAATTAAGCAACCTAAATTCCCAGTATCATGATAACGCTGTATACATTTTTTTCCTGGTTAACACCCTGACATTATAATGTATGGTTTTTTTTCTTTTAAGTTTTATCTGAAGATTTATCAAATGAATTAAAATATTAAAGTTTAAATCATAACTTTTAATAGTAATAATAATAATAATAATAATAATAATAATAATAATAATAATAATAATAAAAATAGTAATAATATAGTTTTATAATGAGGTTTTATATCATAGTTTCAAGATCAATATTAAAATTTCTATAATTATAAAATGAATATTTGCTAAAATATTTATTCTTTTTTTACAACAAAATATTTTAATAACTTTTTTAACTAAATTAAAAACCAATAAACAAATTTGTTTTTTTCTTTAAGTTTTATTTGTTTCAGTCTGATATTAAATTGACATAATATATACTGATATTTACATTTATACTTATATCATGTGTTGATATTGAGATAATTAAAATTACAATGCTAATATCCTTATAGGACAAGTATAGTACCATAAAATAACAAAATATATGAATGTATTACAATAGCAAAACATTACAAATAATATACTCATGCAGTATACTTAGATTTATAACTGACTTGGCAGGAATGCTGAGGTATAGCTAAGGTATAACTTGTGCCAAAGTAAAAAAAAATTGAAATTTTCTTTATACATGAAATTCATTTAAATTCTTTAAACTGTGGGTAATAATAAACTTGAGCAGATAACAAAAAAAAATTATCTTTCTCCCTCAGTCGTTATACATTATAGTATTTATAAGATCTTTTTTACCACTTGGCATTTGCATAGAGAGGTAGATAAGCAACTTCCTCAACTCGCTATGCTCATTTTACATGACAATGTCTCAGCTTGTGCTTTTATATTATAAATTGGTATTTATACATGTAAATATGCTTATAATGATCAATATTATACAACATTTTGACCTTAAAACAGTTGTCAACCTAAATCTCCTAAATATTTTTTTGAACTTTAATATATCTAATTTTAGCTTCTTTATGATAATAACAACTACATTATTACAATGTTAAAAAAAAATTATAAAAAAAGTTTATACGAAAGTAACTACATCAAAAAAAAAATATTTTAAAACAAGATATAAAAAGGATAAAAAGCATAGTATCTTCGCCAAATTTTAAATTTCTTTTGGAAAAGATAAAAAAATAAATAAAAAAAAATTTTTGTGTGAATATTTATTATCAAATAAAAATTAAAAAAAAACTTACTCAACAGCTTGTAGAGGCGGGTGTTGAGCACCATAAACAGGTCTGTAAATAAATAGTATGGTATTTGAACAAAAAAAATAAATAAAAAATACAACAATAAAAGAAAAATTAGATGTGCATAAAATGTACATCTAACTTTTCTTTTACAATCTGTATTGTGTGTACATGGTTTTATTCATAAGCATAATGCTTATAAGCACGCCTAGAATGAGATATAAAAAAAAATATAAAAGCATAGATATTGTTGAGACTTAAAACTTATAAACTTATTTTTATTAATTTAAACCATGTATATTGAAAAAATAAAAATTTATACAGGATTAAACTTTGCAAAGCAAAAAATTCATAAACTTAGGAAGTCATTGCGTAGCAAAAAAGCCCGTTTATAAAAATATATATTTTTTGAAAGTAGCGTTTTGAAGTGTTAAACCTTTCTTTCTTTTTCTCACACACACACTCTTTCTATTTCTGTAGTCTAGTTATAGTAGTCATATAGTTAAATTATATCTACAAGATTTCTTCTAACGCAATACAGTAATTATATACAATGTAATAGTCATATATAAAACCGCATTTAAAAACCTTTTTTAAACATTAAAACATGAACACTAATGTTACTTATAGAATATTTAAAATAATAAAGCACTAAATTAAAAAAAACTAACCTTCCAGGCACTTTACTAGAATTTTTTTTCCAAAAAGATGCTTTATCTGTATTTGCTGTATTTGCAACAGAATGGTGAAGTATGGATGAGCTCATAGGTAATTGATTACTAATATTTTTTTTTGCATTTTCATGTTCATAAGTGGCAAACCTTGTTCCAAGGACTAACAATCGATCTTTTGCCACTTCTGACATAGACAGTTACATTAATTTTGATAAAAACTATCAATTTTCTGTAAGAAAAAAAGCTAAAATGTTATGTAAAATAATTTTAGTAAATAATACCATGAAAATAAATGCGGAAAATTTATTATTTGTAAGATTCCAACATTTTTTAAATAATCATTTAAGTTTAAAAGACGTTACTCAATATTATCATAATTTATAGTATATTTATATGGATTATATACATATATGGTTTTTAGTTTTTAATCGCAACAAAACTCAATTGAAAAGATTTAACTAATTCCTTTTAAATTCAATATTATTGATATAAAAATAAAAATAAACAACATGTGAAAACCAATATGAAATGCACTATAAAGGAAAAATAACTTAGAATTAATTACTAATTTTATTTTTGAAAAAAGTTAAACTTTACAGGGCTTTATAATTTAATTATAAATTATTAGAATTATTTTATTTATAATCAAATATAAACAACAAATTAGTACTTACTAATGATCATTTACCGCTTTGCATAAATACGTCATCTATTATTTCACCCAAGTTGGTAACAGTAAATAAATATTCTTATTTTTCGTTCACTTGGTGTAGTTAACGCAATTATAAAATATTATAGCGTCTGTATGATATTTTGTTGACTACGACATAATTCCGTTAAATGATCATGTCTGTGAATTATGAAAAGAGGAAAAAAATTAAAGTGATTAATTTTGCGATATCATAAAATATAAATTTTTATAGACCAGACCGAAGATTCTTTTTTTTTTTTTTTTTTTTAATCTTCTTAAAATCGCAATCGCTTGTCCAAATTTTAATAAGATTTTAAAAAAATACATTTTTTAAGTGAAATGAACATTATATTTTAAGAATATGATCTGTTCTGATTGTTTATTGGCAATTTTTCTTAATTTTAAGCTTTCTTGATTGGAATTCTAGTATTTTTTGTGAAAATTGATTGAAATATTGTGTTTTGACAACTTTATATAGTTAATATACGTCAGAACCGATTGGAACTAGGAACTAAGGAACATTTTCAAAAGATTTCAACTAAATTCATGTTTACGCCGATGAACGGAATTGATCTAAAGACTGCAAAATGGTGCTTTTTAGATTCACTATTACCACTGCTCCACTGCCGTTGCGCAGTGTTAGTGATTGTTATCACTGTTAACACTGCGCCACTGCCGTGGCGCAGTGTTAGTGATCTGTGCCAGAACTCTAACCACTGCACCACTGCCGTGGCGCGTGGTTAGAGTTCTGGCTCAGAACCCAGAGGTCTGAGGTTCGACGCCAGCTCTAGCACAATAAGCGACATTGGTAAGGAAGGAGGCGTGAACTTCTAGACAAATGCTCTCACGCGGTGCTCCGTGATAAGACCGTAAGGACCTCTGGGAATAACCTAAAAAATAAAAAATAAAAAGTAGGCAACGCCCACCTAGCCCGCTTGTGTCGCCATGATGAAATTGAGTCAGAATTTCCTTAGCCTTCTTGAACATATGTATGAAGTATTTAGGGTATATTAAATTGTTAAACTTATCAGTAACACTTCTTAAACATATGTATGAAGTATTTAGGGTATATTAAAATGTTAAACTTTTCGTTAATACTTTTTAAGGGAGAAAACCCTCGAAAAATTATTTTCTGAAGTGAAAAAAAAATTAACGAAGTGATTAAATGTGTTAAACAAAAGTACAGTAAATGTTAAGAAGATCTATCATAAAAAATAGCACTTCGTTGCCATGGCAACATGGTAACTAAGAAAAAATGTCAAATTAGTTTCTTCACCCTGGCAAAGATTGCAGTCAATTAAAATAATACTTTCAGCTGATTTTTTTCCAACTTATAGTAAAAAGATAGATCTGTTCAATAAGCAGACTGTTTTTGCAAACAATTTTTCTGTCAGGTGGTAGGCCTGTTTAACTTTCGAAGAACAAAAAAACTCGAAGAACAAAAAAAATATATTCTTAAAGAAACTGACAAACTTCTGAAAAACCAAGAATCAACATTTAAAAATATTATAATTTCAAATCCAAAAAGTATTACGGATAGACTTGATAAACTCGAAAGCGAAATTAACACTAACAAACCAAAAACTTTAGAGATATCAAAGAAACTTTTAACTTTCAAGAGGAAAACTTTACAACTAAACTAGCACAAATGAACCTAAAGTGTAATGATGAAATTAGTATATTAAAAAAGAAGACTATAGAGTTGGAAAACAGAATACGCCGTAACAATCTAAGAATTGACGGAGTAGCCGAATCTAACTCTGAAACATGAAATGACTGTGCTAGCATAGTCAAAAATATCTTCAAAAACCAATTAAGAATTGCGGAGGACATAGTAGTTGAGAGAGCCTATCGTGTAGGACAAGTAAAAGAAGACAAGCCGCAAACGATAATTCTCAAACTTTTAAATTTTCATGAATAAAGCAAGATATTATCTTTAGCAAAAAAACTTATCGGCAGTGGAGTATTCATAAATGAAGATTACGCAAATGACACCTTAGAAAAACGAAAAAAGCTTTGGAAAAAAATAAAAAGACACCGAAAAGAAGCTAATCACTGGTATTAGATACCATCACTGGTATCTAATACCAGTGATTACCAATGACTTCTGTTTTGACTGAAAGACCTTACTACTAACCCTAACTTTGCCAAATGCTAAGTGGAAGCAATGGCTTTTTTGTCTTCTTTCCAGTTTTCTGACACTTTTTTTAAATTGGATTGTTTTCAAAACATCTTGACCATTCTAGAAGATTCAAGCATTTAAGTTTAGAGAAGTCAACTTAACTTCCATTTTAAAGGGTATTTAATAAAATTATAGTAAGTATATATATTATAAAGTTCATTTAGTTTATGTATATTATAATATATTAATATATATTATAAAGTTCATTTAGTAAGACTAACCCATCATTCAGTTTTTTTCAGTCATTTAACCCCAATCATCAAATGGGGGCACATTATAAGCACAAGAGCATATGATGCATAAAGTAGTATCAGTAATAAAACATTGAGAGGCTTTCTGCTTTTTAGACTTCTTTGGTTTTTTTGGTCCTCAAATTTATTGATTTCTTTTTTTGCTTGATTACCTTATTAAGTGCAGCTTTTTCTTTACGCAATATTGCTTCTTGTTGCTTTTCTTTTACATTGTTTTCATGTTCTTCTAATCTCTTCTTGAAAGGCGAAGAAGTAAGATTTTCAGCTGATTCTGTCTTTCTTTTACGCAGTCTTAATACAGTAATTTTAGGACGCGGGGAAATCTTTTCCAAAATATTAGGGGGGGATTTAAGGCCAAGATGCTCATCAACAACTGGCAAAACTGCATCATTTGATTGTGCTGGTTCTTTCGTAACAGTCTTCATTTTTGAGGCAACAGTTGCTGTGCTTATGACATCTGGCAACTGTATAGGTGCAACAAGAGGTATAGTAGGCAAATCACTTGATTGCTGACAGCTTTCCAATGGTATAGCTTCATCAGTGAGCAAAGCTGCAATAAAGGCTTAATCGTTAAAAATAAGCTCATTTATTTGGTTTAAACCAGAGCATCTAAACCCATTGATTGCTTTGTCAATGTTTGCAGTAAAGTTATAGGCAGTTGTAAAAATACCTGCCATGTCAAAAAATGAAATTCTACGCCCCTGATGCGATAACATCCAGTTGCTTGCTGCAGTATTGTAACCAACTTTCAATGGTTTGAAAAATGTATGGTCTAAAGGTTGCATTTTGTGTGTACAATGAGGTGGAAGAGTTATGAGGTGAATCCCATGGTTGCGACAAAAGTTAATGGCTTCAAGTGTTTTGTGACTATGACGACCATCGAGTACAATTAATTGCTCATTATTTTTAGATGCATGAGTCACAGTAACAAAATGTGTTAACCATTCAATGAATAAAGATGAATCTGTCCATCCACCGGAGCTAGCTCTAACAATTGACCCTGAAGGTGCACCAAAAGCCAGCCTATCAGTCATTCGCTTACGGGGGAATATAAATAATGGTGGAACATAAACACCACTTGCACTCATTGCACACACGACAGTCACAGTAGCACCTCTTTCTTCACTAGTTATTTTTGAAACTTGTCGTTTTCCCTTTGTTGCAATTATTTTTCCTGGCTTATGGACATTTGTTATTCCAGTTTCATCCATATTCCAGAGCTGTTTGGCTGAAAACTTATGTTCGTCAAATAATGACTTGTATGCTGAAAAAAACTGATTTAACTTTGGTTTATTGAAGCCAACAGCTCTGCTTACACTGGTGGCTTGTGGGGTTTGAGTAGAAAGTTGTGGGTTGCGAGACATTAACCCTTGCAGCCAATCCTTTTCTGCCATTTTTGATTCATTATTAAAAGGATTTTCAATTCCCATTTGTTTAGCAAAATCATATGCTAAGCAACGTATATCTATTGTTGTCAAGCCAAATAATGCTCTTTCCATAATCTGAACTTGTGTTACAATGTTTAATTCAAAATCTTTACTAAATACAGAAGAAATTTCCACCCAGAGATAAACCACCAACTACCTTTACTTTATCATCTCTATGACGTTGTAATATTTTTTTGTTAATACTAAATTCTGATGCAACATTTTTCAGACTGCAGCCCATCTCCATAACTTCTAACGCTGACTTTATCCTATTATTAGTTGCACCTCTCTGTGTTTTTTGCACATAATTTCTCACCATTATTTAAATTGTTTAAATATGTTTCTAAATAAAAATTTTAAAATTAAATTATATAAACATATAAACACATGCAAAGTATTATATAATTATTTAATATACTATTGTTTCAAACATTACCTTACATTCATAAATTAACTCTTTTTAAGTTAAATAAGAACTTACTTAAGTTATATGCATACAATTTTTGCACAAAGTTACCCAAGAATTATTAATAACGATGGTATTATTATTTTTTTAATTTATTATTGTTATTATTATTATTTACATTCAATTGCTGATCATTAATTTAATATAATACATTTTTATTTCCCCAATGCAATGCAAATTTTAAAAATGTATTTATAATAGTATTATAAATACATTTTTAAAATTTGCATTGCATTGGGGAAATAAAAATGTATTATATTAAATTATATAAATGTATTATATTAAATTATATAAATATATAAATGTATTATTAATACATTTATATATACATTTATAAATAATTGGCGCTAATTTACATCTCTACCCCCCTATTTTTATTTTTGATTATGATAGAGAATTTCATCCTGATTAAGAACCGTTTAAAAACATAGATCTGAAAATTAACAGAAAGTGCTCTAATTCGATTTTGAAGTTTAAAAAATTACACTAAAAACGCTAATATTCGCCATTTTTTCATACTCGATTATAATTAAAATCCTTTCATAAGATGACTTTAAAAAAGCCTGGTTTCTATCAACAATTTAAAGCAAAACTGTTAAAAAATGCGTACCTTATCATTTTCTTATTGATTTCTGGCCCAAACCCTAACTCTGTCCCAAATCATGTACCTTTAATTGCACCAATCCCTATTTGTCAGTCGATGTATGTACATTCAATTACGCCAACCCCTATTTTTCAGTTGATACATGTACATTTAATTGCGCCAATTC